CTCTCCAGCATTTATTGCTTGTAGACTTTTGGATAGCAGCCATCCTGACTGGCGTGTAATGGTACCTCATTGTGGTTTTGATTTGCATTTCTCTGATAATGAGTGATGTTGAACATCTTTTCATGTGTTTGTTAGCTATCTGTATATCTTCTTTGGAGAAATGTCTATTTAGTTCTTTGGCCCACTTTTTGATTGGGTCATTTATTTTTCTGGAATTGAGCTGCAGGGGTTGCTTATGTATTTTTGAGATTAATTCTTTGTCCATTGCTTCATTTGCTATTATTTTCTCCCATTCTGCAGGCTCTCTTTTCACCTTGCTTATAGATTCCTTTGTTGTGCAGAAGCTTTTAATTTTAATTAGGTTTAATTATTTTTGCTTTTATTTCCATTACTCTGGGAGGTGAGTCATAGAGGATCCTGCTGTGGTTTATGTCAGAGAGTGTGTTGCCTGTGTTTTCCTCTAGAAGTTTTATAGTTTCTGGTCTTACATTTAGGCCTTTAGTTTAAAGTTACTGGGTCAGTAAGGTTGTGGGTGATAGGACAATGGTACGTAGGGTACTTTCTGGGAAATGTGAGTTTTCTAAGGAGAGGCAACATTTTCTGAACTTTTAAAGTAAGCAGTTTCCAATATTCCAAAATTTTTAGAATAGAGCTCTCCAAAAGAAATGTGAGCACACATATAAAATTTTCCAGTAGTCACATTAAAAAGTAAAAATGAACTGAAATTAATTTTAACATTTAATATATCCAAAATATAATTTCAACAAGCAATTCATTTAAAAAAAATAGAATATTTTACTCTAAAAAGAGAGACTTTGAAATCTGGAGGGCTTTGTTCATGTAGAGCACACCATATTTCAGACAGCCACATTTCAAATGCTCAGAAACTACCTGTAGTTTGTTGCTACAGAATTGGAGGGCATAGCTTTAGAACCTCCTTCTCCAAGTCTCTCTCTTCCTCTGAAGGATAGCAAACAAGGCAGCCTCCGTTCTCTGAATTCTCCACACCCACCTGCACCAGCCCTTCCAAAGCACCTGTGAAAACACTCCCAGGATACCCATTAATACGTGATTAGCCAATTCCTTACCTGCTTCTCTCCTTAGGCAAGCAGCCAAGCATTGTTGCCTTCAGAGATGTGGCATTTCCACATTTTGCACATTCTTCAAAGGCCCTAAAATATGAGGCAGTGGGGGATGAACACTGGATCACAAAGGTCTCAAGATCCCAACAACTCTCAGTTTAGTCAGTAAAATCACCCCTCCTCTGTCTCTTGAGGTGTCAGTAGCTCAGAGGTCTAGAGTAGAAACCTTGTAATTATATTTTTGTATAATTAAATGTCATCAATGAAGCCCTCTGGAAAAAGAGGAGAGTTGGCACATAATTTGCTGGGCCCAGTGAAAAATGAAAACATGGACCCTTTGTTCAAAAATGAAGAACTTTTAAGATTTTGACTACAGAGCATTAAAGCAAGCACAGGGCTGTCTGAGAACTGTGTCCTTCTGAGCCTGGAGTCCTGGAACTGCACAGGCTGACCCTCTACAAAACTGGTCCCCGTTGGGCTTATGTCTTTGGATGAAGCAGGCAAGTGGTAAGATTTCCTAGGCTATCCTTGAGGATTCTAGACCTTAAAGAAGACTCCAAAATCATATCTACTGGAATTCACTGGGGAAGAGAAGTTTTTGAACCAATGAAAAACCTTGGAAAGAGGAACTGATGAGATGAAGGAGGCAGATAAGAGAGGTGCCTTCGTTGATTTAAACCACTGACTAATCAGGGTCACTCACACGTCGGATGTTCATAAGGTCAAGGTTGGGCAACAACAGACTGACATCTACAAAGGAGACTTGCTGACCTGAGCAGGAATCCCTTTAAAGCTACTTTTACTCAACTTCCCACCTTTCCTAGCCAGGAACAGGTGGCGATGATGAGTGACCTCCAGAAGGTCTGTGAAGCCCTGCAGAAGTCTAAACTGTGGTGTGGTTTGTAGCCACTGACCGTGCTTGGGCGGCCGAGGGTGAGGAGGGAAATTTCTTACCCACGGCCAGCACCGGCTCTTTCTGGCGTCTACATTTCTGCTTCTCCAGGACGAGGGGCACGCAGACCTCGAGACCAGATTAGGGCCCGGCCTAGTCAGCCCCTCGACCGAGGCACTACCAGGTCTGGGAATAACCAACCCGAACCACCTCTACTGTTCCTGAAACCCGTGGTGGCGTCGCAAAAGGCAGCTGGGGCCACCGTGGACCTGCGCCTCAGAGTCCTTCTTCCTCCACTGGCGTCCGAGGGCCTCAACGGCTCAGGGCGTCCACCTGCGGCGGTTCAACGGAAATTCGCATCCGGAAGCCTGCGGAGGGCCAGCCCAGGGGTTTCCTGGGCAACAGGCCCCGCCCTGCCCTCGCGCCTGGCCACGCCCCTCTGAGGAGTAGCCCAAGGGCAGGAGGGATTCTGGGGTGTGCTGCACTTTGGGATGCTGTGGGGTTCCTACTGTTTATTTGTTCTGTGTCTGCCACCCGACAAGGGTGCTTGGCACACTACATGGACTTATAATTCTCATATGTCAGATAAACTAGTGAAAGATTTTCACACCTTGGCAGGTGAGGAGACGCCAAGGCCTCAAGGATGTGCCCCCGGTCCACCGAGCAACCTCCAGCCTCTCAGACATCAGCACCACCACTCAACTCCGGGTCTTCCTCCGTCCCTATTAGCTCCTCTCCCTACTGGAAGTCTTCCCAGTGGCCGCTGGTGGTAAAGAACCCACCTAACATTGCAGGTTAGATGTAAAAGATGCAGGTTCAATCTCTGGGTGGGGAAGATACCCCAGAGAAGGAAACAGCAACCCACTGCAGTATTCTTGCCTGGAGAATACCATGGACAAAGAGCCTGGCGGGCTCAAAGGTAACATCTTACAAGAGTATACTACAATATCACAACCAGGATGTTGAGATTGATGTAGTCAAGATACAGAACATTTCATCACCAGAAGAATCCCTTCTGTTGCTCCTTGATGGTCACACCCACTTTCTACCTGTCCCCACTCCCATCTTTAATCCATGATAACTACTGCAACTAATCTGTTCTCTATTTCTATAATCGTGTAATTTCAGGATTGTAATATAAATGGAAACAGTTTATAACCTTTGGGGACTGGCATTTTTTAAGCAGTATAGTTTTCTGGAGATTCATCCCCATTGTTTCCTGTATCAAGAGTTTGTGCCTTTTTGTTGCTGAGTAGTATTCCATGATGGATATACCACAATGTAACTAGCCAGTTGAAGGACATCTGGGCTGATTCCAGTTTTTGGTCTTTATAAATGAAGTTACTATATACATTTGTGTACAGGTTTCTGTGTGATAAATGCCCAGAAATGCAATTGCTGAATTGTATAGTAAATACATGTTCAGTTTTTCAGAAACTGCCAAAGTGCTTTCCAGGATGGCCATACCATTTATAGTCCCATCAGCAAGTCATCCAATTGAGTCACCCAATTTCTCTGCATTCTCACCAGCAGTTGGTGTTGAACATTTTTAATTTTATTTATTCTGATAGGTAGTGATATCTCATTGTGGTTTAAATGTACATTTCTCAATAATGTTGAACATCTTTTCATGTACTGATTTGCAATCTGTGTGTCCTATTCAGTGAACTGTCTCTCCATTGGGTTTTTTTCATTGTTGGGTTTTTCCCTCCAGCTTTATTAAAGTGAAATTGACAAATGAAATTGTAAGATATTTAAAATATACCACAAAAGGGCTTAATATTTCATTGTGAAAGCTTTCCTCCCATTGAATTAATTAACACATCCATCACATATTTACCTTTTTTGGGGGGTAAGGGGGTGGTAATATTTAAGTTCTACTCTCTGAGCGAATTTCAATGATACAACACAGTGTTATCAACTGTAGACACCATGCTATACCTCAGATCCTCTGACCTTACTCATTAACTGAAAGTTTGTTCCCATTGACCAACCTGTCCCTCTTTTACTGTTACATTTTGAGAGTTTTTAAAATACATTCTAGGTAGTAGCTCTTTGTCAGATATGTATCATGCAAATATTTTTCTCCCATTCTGTAGCTGTTTTTTCATCCTCTTACAAAGTCTTTCACAGAGTGTACATTTTAGCTTAGTTCTGTCACATAATTTAATTTTATGTTTTAGTATTTTAACATCTACCATGCAATGTGTTTTGTAATTTTTTGAATGTATATGTTTATTCTAATACTTTGAACATTATTTATTTTTGATCTAACAATTATTGTTACAACTGTAACTTAAAACCTTTAATCCTATGTCTATTTAGACAGAATCTAACTCCACACTGTGAGTAATCACAAAGTAATATATTTCCTTTTGCTTCACTTTTACCCCTCCATTCAACATTAGTTACCATTTTTCTTAGCATTTATCTTTGTATTGCTAAATAAACTTCCTTTAATTTCACTTATTAGTTTCCGAAGATATCTCTTGAAGACTTGCTATAAAGTGTGAGTGAGTGCAGCAAATATTAATACCTACTTATTCTCCCAAATTTTTTCTCAAATCTGTTATATATGTTGTTCCCATACAGTCAGGATTATTACATTTACATTTTGCGTTATTACCATAATCCCTGCATTTGCTTTCATCTTTGTCCTATAGTAAAGTAGATCAATCTCAATGCCAGTCCTATTGTTTTTCTCACTTATCTCCTGGCCGACTGAAGTTCATCTAGTATTTTCTAAAAGAAAGGCTCATCAGACGTTCCAAATGTTTATTTCTTGCCTTTGCACTCAGAGACATTTTGAGTGTGTTAGTCTTTGCTTACAATTTCTCTTGAGGATTTATAAGCATTGCTCCACTATTTTCTGGTATGGAAATTTGCTCTTGGGAAATCTGAGATCAGCCTTATTTTTCTCCTTTGAAAGTGACTTAGTTATTTTGCATAGCTCCCCAAAGAATTCTTTGTCTTTGAAGTTCAGTAGCTTAGCTTTGCAGTATGTATCTGTGTTACTTTTCCTGGGACATTGTGTGTCCTTCCTTGCAATTTTGCAATCAAATTTGTATTTTTTAAAAAAATATCATGGTGAAATAGTCACAGTTTTCAAGTTGTCTAAAACAGAATTTTTCCCCTGGTAAATGTCCTTCAGATCCTGTTTGTTTTCTTTTTCTTCTCCTCACTTGTTTTTAATAAGATATTTGCAGATTTGGTGATCTCTTGGTGGCCTCATTTTTGACAGAGGTAAGTTTTTTTCTGCATCAGATATTTACAATATTTCCAGGAGATTCCACATGGAGGTGGGGCCAGGCCTACATTTTAAGTTAGCAGAAGTTTTCTTTTGGTTCTGGATATTAAGAGGGTTTTAATGAATTTTTACAGCGTTTAGTTCTTACTGATGATGGAAAAAGGCAGCTACAGGGGTTTTCACTTAAGTCTCTGTTCTCCCCCCACCACACAAGGTAGACTGTTACCTGAAATTATGTCTTGTTGGTGTAATTCAGTTTTGCCTTCTCCACTTTTTACCTCAAAACCAAGTTCAGGGAACCTGCCATTGTATACTATATCCCTTCAGTTAAAAAAAAAAAAAAGTTAGATTTTTGCAACTCAGAGTGTGCACCTGTCCTTAGAAGGTGTGCTTTATGTACTTCCTGATCTATTTCTGATCATGTAGGCATTCTCTCTCTCACTCTTTCATATACTCCTCATGGAATTTCAGCGTTCTCTGCAATCCTTCCTGTTTCCTCTAGTTTTGTGAATAGAGGTTTCAGCAATCTACTTTCTTTGAAGGAAGAGTTTGCATTTCTTCCTGTCATCCTAATGGTTGCTTTAGATTCCTTTCCAAGGAAAGGAAGAAATGGAAACTTTATGTCCCATCTTCAAACCAGAGGTCCTTAAATTAAATTCTTACCTGGCTGAAGTTTAGTCAGTTGTAGCTTCTAGCCATAATAACTTTCTGGAGCCATTCTGGATGTACAAAGAAACAGGAGTGTGCAAGGGAAATGTTGCCAGTGAGAAATTTCCAATGATGGATATTTCTCTTACTGCATGTGTCCTTTTGAATATCTATACGGTGGCTCTTCCCTGATCTTTGCCCTTTTCTGATGAGATAAATGGTCCAAGTTCATAACATACATAGATGAAGGATGGTTTTTTTAAGGTCCCCCATTACCTGTGTGATGTGTGGTATCTCAGCCTTTGTTATCTCTTCGGTTCCCATTTCATTTGTGAGCCACCTGAAAATACCCTGCCATCAGCAACAAATCTGCTGTACCTCATATCTTCTTCCAATAGTGTACTTAACATTTCCTACCTCCTAGAAACATATGAAAGGAAACCACACAAAGACACTTTATGACACTTGAGGCAAAGCCTTACAACCTGGTCATTATGAAGGGATTTCTCCTCTTTGGAATCCTTCCTTGGCTGCTTTTTTAGGGCAACAGATTTCCCCTAAATCATCAAACTAAAAATTCCCTTACTCCTAGTATCTTGCATGAGAGAAAAAGAATTTTTCGAGACATCATATATCTGAAAACATCTTTATTCCTCCCTCATTTTAATTAAGAAATTGGTTGGGTATAAGCTTCTAGGTTGAATACAATTTTATCTCAGAATGTTGGAGGTGTTACTTCATTTGCTAGCTTCAAAGACTGTGGAGAAATCCAGTGTTTGATTCTTGAACTTGTGAACTTCCCCATCTCTGGGAAATTTTAGGATATTTTCTTTATTACTACTATTTGGAAATGTCATCATAATGTCTTACTGTGGTTCCTTTTATTGTTAATGTGCCACATTTTGTTGGTTCCCTTAAATCAACAAATCTGTGGTTTTCAGCTTTGGAAAATTATTCCTTTCCATAATTTTCTTTTTCTGGGAATTTTACTGTTCAAATGTTGAATCTTAGATATAAAAAAATATTTTACTATGGTCAGGATACAACATGAGAGCTACCCTCTTAAATTTTTAAGGATGCAAGTCATTGTTGTTGACTATAGGTACAGTGCTATAGAGCAATCTCTTGCTTAACTGAAACTTTCTGCCCATTGATGAGTAACTCCCCATCTCCCCCTCCTCTTAGCCCCTGGCAACCACAATTCTCCTCTTTGATTTTGTGAATTTGCTTATTTCAGATACCTCAAATGAGTAGAACTGATCTCAGAGACTCAACAGTGAGCACTGGCGTGAAGCGAGATCTTAATTCCCTGTTCAGAAGTGAACCTGGGGAGCCTGAATGAAAACCTGAAAGCCTAGCCATCAGGCCAGCAAGAGCTAGAGGCTAGAAGCTATTTTTCCCTGGATCTTTGCCCCCAGTGAAAAATGCATTTCTTAAGGAGGCAAAATGGAGA